CCATTCAAAATTTAACGTTAAGTTTTGATTTTTTTTAAAGTTTAAGTACTAAACAAACGGACCAAAACTTATAATTTAGATACTAAATGCGTTAAGTTTCAAATTGTGAGTACTAAAATGATTTAACTATTTTGACTTAAAAAGATAAATTTTTTGTCATGATAAATTTAAATTAATAATTATATATATTAAATTTATCTTCAAACTCATTTAGTTACATCAATTTCATCATTTGACTGATGTTGATAATTAAAGTGTTGACATAACAATTAATGATGATGTAGTTGCCTAATATACTTATATGACAACCCATGATAATAAGATGACAATCTATATATGAATATCAACGTGACATAATGCTTAATTGATTTTTTTCGACGATAGTATAATTAATTTTTTTGATCGGGTTTGAGTAAAAAAACCAGTTATAACTTTAAACTCAACAAAAGCAACCAATTAAATCCTTCTACTGCATTATCATTAACAATGGACGACCCAACCATTATAGTAGATTGTCATGTTCACATGGTAAAGTTGTCATGATTAGTATTAATCATAGAATGAAATTGATACAATTAAATGAGTTTAAAAATAAAAAAAAATATAATTGAAAATAAAAAAAATAAAAAAGTTCAAGATTATGAAAGAAATTATATAACTCGTTAAGCCATTTATGTTTAGATAAAAAAAATTGTTTTTACTTTTTCTTGTAATAAATAAACCATCTAAAGTCAACGCTCACTGAATATATTTTTATAGGATGCATGTAATTATGATTTTAAAAGTGATAAACTATTAAAAGTCAATTTTTTTAAAAAAAGTGAAATGTCAACTTATTATTATTATTATTATTATTATTATTATTATTATGTCAACTTTTATTACTATAGAATATACATTTACCCACAAAATAATAAAGAAAAAGGACCAATTCCTAATCTAGTCAATGACACACTTCATCTTTCTCTTAAGTGCTCCTGCGCACCATTAAACTATATAAATATTAAATTATATATTTTTATATGATCATGTTTAAAGATAAATTTATAATAATAAACAGATATAATGTGAACATAATATGTTTAACAAGAATATATAAACTAATATTTAATGCTCTCACGGTATTTAATTTTATATAATGTTAATAAATTAAATAATATTATATCATCGTACATTATAAATTTCCATTTATTTAAATATATTCGTATTAAAATATCATCTCCTATTTCATTCAACTCAATGAGCTGAAAATTATTATTCTCCTGTGAAAGACATTAAACTCTAATTACAATTAATTACTTACATTAAGGAGGTCAATAATAAGCAAGGTAATTATTTGAATATAAAAGAGATAGTAAACTTTGGTATAGTCTTAACAAATTTAATTAAGACCTAATTATGTATATTTATATAGATTTAGGTATTTAAAGGGAGTGTTGTTATCCCTAAAAAAATTAAGTTAGAGTAATTATATCGATAGAATATATATGACTAAAAAATATTTTAAATATATATTATTTTATATTCATTTAAACTATTAAAAAAATACTTGGCATTCATTAACATAGAATATAAATAACAAGACGGAAGAGTGAAAATTAATATTATCTCAATCTCATAAAATAACATGATAATGTGGGCCGTCCACCGTCGTGGTTAATAAAACTTAGCTATTTTATCAACAACATTAAATGCATGAGCTAGTGTCGGTCCATTTTTACATAGTTTAATTTGTTTTGCAGTTCAAAAATAAATTATAGTTTCTTATTAATCATAAATTTTAAGAAAATAAAATTTTGAATGCACCATAGAAACAAGTCTTATTAAACAATTGGTTAAAGGGAATTTAAGAAAAAAACGTATACAATTTAGGAAGTTCAAATTCGAATAAAAATAAGCTCCAATTCAATAATTATGGTATTTAAATTTTAAATTATGAATTATCCAAACAATATAATTCCGATCAATTTTTTTTTTCGGATCAATTTTTTTAACTATAACTAAATAGTGAATTATTTTATTGTCATGAGAGGAGAAAACAGTCTTTAATTTTTTTTTAAAATATCTTCTTCAATTAAAAAATACAAATAAAAATGGTCTGCTTTAGAAATATTAGGTATATTAATACTTGAAATTATATTTTTCTAAGAAAAAAATGTGTCTAAGATTATTTCTTCCTAAAGAACTGTGATTTAATTATTCTTAAACAATTTTCTGTTTGCCTTATCTTTTGCTTGTAATAAATAAACTAAATAAAGTCAATGCTCTTATTTCTAGTCTTCCAGATGCAAGTAATTAAAAAATGGTAAACAAGTACAATGTCAACTTTTATTATTATTTTTTATTATCAAATGTCAAACTTTTATTATTATTTTCTTTTATCAAATGTCAGCTTTTATTATTAAAGATTATATATTGTAATATGGAAGTTAATCTGTTGGTTGGAAGGTAAATTAAATCAAATAATGATGAAATAAATGAACTAATTCTATATATACCCACAAGACAAGACAATAAAGAAAAGGGGACCAATCCAAATTAAGTCAATTAAATAATGAGACCCTTGATATTATCTTAATATCATTTGTATAATTATTTTTTCTACTGGTAATGCATCAAACGATAATTCATAAAGATATTAAATTAATAAAATTAATGAAAATTAAAGTAAAACTATTACCAAATATATGATGTTAAATTACAAATTCTATAATTGCTAGTCAATTTTAGTTTTTTCTGAACATCCCATTATAAAATTTGAAAGAAATTAGGGACATACTATCAAAATCGAATAATCACTTTAATCTCTATTTTATTAAAAGCATTCTAACACCAATGTGAATATACAACATCATCATTTCAAGTGTATTCAACAATAAATGTTGACTGTTATTTTATCAAAAAGTAAGACGTTACACATAAGAGTGCATAAAAAAATCAAAATATCTTTTCAGGAAAATACTAAGAGCTTGATGTTATACGTATTTTTAAATATCTTTTAGTAGGGATTAAAATTGAAATTTGAAAAGTTTCGGGGACCAAAGCCCTCGCTATACCCTACCTTCGTTATTGACAGGTCAAACGAGTGCCTCCAGCCGCTGATAGAGATTCTTGTAAGTTTTGGTGAATTTGATGAATTATGATTGGATTTGGACAATTAAACTCAGAGGGATAGCTGAAAGAAGAGGTTTATATAACAAAACCGATACACGGTACACAGTATTTTGAACACATTTATCCTGCTGCAAATTACGAGAATACAAGCTTGTCTTGGGTTCGAATATCAAAATGCTTGGCGAGCATGGTAACGCAGATACCATGCTGTTATTCTCATATTGTAGTTCTTGCTTTTTCGATGTTCCTATCGAGATTTAAGCTTTAGATATTCAAGTGAAAGAGCATTCAACTGTGTGTTGCTCACGGTTGTCTTAAAGAGGGTGGTGCAGAATGTCGCCTCGTTACCTTTATCTATCATGTTGGTTAAAAAACCATCTCTTCCCCTGCCATGCTACCACGTAAATTTTCTTTCTTTTAAGAACATGTTTCTGTTTTCACTTCAGAACTAGTTCTCTTTAAGGCTCTTTGGTTTTCTTGTGTTCACTCGCCCTAGAAAAAGGCAACAGTACCAATGAGATCAATATTCAATAGTGAAGAATTCAATTCCGCTTGGAAACATGACAATGGCATTAATAGCAATAATGTCTTGTAGTGTAAACCAATGTGTCATCTCAACGAATGCCACTGGCTTCACTCGTTACATGAAGTAAAATAAAACTGTCCTCCAAAGTAGCTCTTTAGTGAAACAGGGAACAATAACTCCCAAATCAAAGTTAACATACTTCTGAGTTCAATCTAATGTGACCTTAGTTTACCAAATGTTAGCCCTTTTATTCAACAAAGTAGTTTTCTTAGGCTTTTGGCTAAAGTTCTAGCTCTGTTGCAACACTCAACTAAGGCCAACAAACAAAGTCTTCTTCCACCACAAAATTTGTGAGATCAAGTGGAGCTTACAAGAACAAACAGTGGTTTGTCTCATAATCCTGCCCTGAAATATAAATCGAGAAAACATTAACATGAAAGTGAATGCAAAAGTCATAGATGACAGGAGAAATATACAGAATACTTTATGCTTGAATCATAGCAGATGAGATGTCTGAAATCAACAGAAAGCACAAGTCAATAATTTCAAATCTCTGACAGTTGATACATTGAAAAAAAGAACGTTTAGCACAGACCGAAATGAAGTTATATTTCAGAGCTCCAATAGCTGTAGTAATTGGCTTTTCATCAACACAAGACAAAATTCCCATGCAGACTTACATCCACTCAAGCATGCCTCAATGCTGTAGTAGAATTTTCTATTACTAATAATGATTTTACACGAAACTTATTGCCATAAACTTTGCTAGTTTTATTTTAATAGAAATGACATAGGCCCTATTGCATATATCTCCAATGAACATGAAGGCAAAAACAAGTGAAAGAATGTGATTAGTAATGTGCCTCTTGGAACCTTGCATCATGCTCATAAAGAACAGTTATGGCTGTAATAAAGAAGACACTCAAATTATTAGAACTTATTGTCCGGCACAACATGCTCAGACATAGGCCTGCCATATGAAACTAGCACCAATATTCATTCTTCAACCCAGTATGGCACCACAAAAGCTCATAATCTGTTCTAATCACAATAAGCAGTATCTGGCAGACTTTTTCCTTTTTTACAGTGCATTAACATTTGTTATTTTATTTTATTATTTTTCTGTTTTCCCCTTCTAAAGCTGAATTAGAATTCTAATTGTTTATATCACTCCCTTGATATGCCCAACTACAAACAGCTCCCTGGATATGCCCAACTACAAACAGCTCCCTGGAAATTCGGTCAGTTTCGCAGAAGCATTATAAAGTCAGTAGTTAGATTCTTGAACTAACAGCTCCGTAGTAACCAACCCCATCAATCAAGAGATTTTCATGTGTTCAGATTTCAGAAACAGATTTATACTATGTATTAAGAGAAGAGATTTACCTGCAACAACAGAGATATCTTTCCCCCTGTACCTCTCAACAAACAAATCGATAGTATCACGAAATGCCTTGGTATCAAGAAGCAAAAGTTGTTATGTCCTGAAACATTATACCTGACAAAAAGGAATCGTAACCCTAAACAATTAATAAAGTCCAAAAAAAAAAGCAAACGGCAAAGAAGAGTGAAGGGAAGTTTTCTTTTTTACCAGGTTTGGGAAGTTTGGGATGATACGAATCGCAGAAGAACTTTTGGAAATACGAGGGTCTTGTTCATCTTGAGATGCCATTTTTGGTTGACTTGCAACTGAATCACTCGCTGCTCCAACTCAACACAGAAGGCAACGGAACAGTGGTAAGACTGTGTGTGAAAGAGAAAGACTGCCCGTTGACACACACCTGACCAGCCAAATTACATTGGTTCACCGAATATGATATTATCAGTGAAAATAAAAAATTACATTGTTTAATTAAAGGAATAAAATATTATTAGATTATATATTTTATCAAATTATCTTTATTATATATTTATTTTTTAACAAGTTGAATTCTACTATAATATTATTATAATTAATTTTTATATATATTTTTAAAAATTTTAAATTCATAAAATTTATATAATTTTTTTTTAATATTGAAAAGATAAATAGGTTTAATGAAAGGATAAAATTTTATTCTAACCCCTGAACTTCATATAAAATTTAATTATAGACTTTGTTTTTGTAAATCTAAAATAGTTTAAAGATAAATTTATAATTTAACATTCGTAGAATTTTTATTATTCAACGACAAAATAATAATATTTTTGAAAAAAAAAATTAAAGGCATTTTAGTCTAAAACGCCAATAATCCAACAATACCTAAGGGAAGGGGAGTAATCACATTCCTGGTAATATACCTTCAAAATACCACTGTTAGTAATAAAAGATTACCGATGGCTGAGAATGTTGGCCAACCAAACGGGAGAATGAGGGTAATAACATATGAAGCCCCTAAAGATTATATAAAATAATAATAAATAAAAAGTAACCACTAAAAATTCATGTTTTTATCCAAAAATTACCAAAATATTATAATATTACATATCATGTACCGTTTCTTTAAATTTTATTAATTTAACACCCTTTTTGATAAGGCACATTAACTTTACTTAGGTAGATCGAAGGCACATTTCCTGAAGCGTGCCTTGCATCATCCTTCAAAGCATTTTAAAAAAATAAACTTTGAAAAAAAATTAAAAAATAAAACTATAAAGACTAACGTCATAATTTGATACATATTAATTCCATGAGTTGAAGAGTTTAATAGAGTTAGTTTATATATGCATATTATAGTATTTAGGTTATGTTTCTTGACAATGTAGGATAAAAGTTAAAATGTATATTCTTTAACTTTTTATCTCTATATATAATGAATATACTTATACACTATTGTTAAATTACATTAGGTTAATATTTATTATTAAGGTTTATATTAATTAAGATTAGATATTTTTTATATGTTAATATATTTAAATAATTATTTTTTAATTAATAGTTCAAAAAATTTATGTAACACAAATTAAAATATTTCATTGACATATAAATGTATTATTTATTGAATATGATTAATTAGATCTATAATTTAAGTTGAATTTAACATAAAAATATAGAGAGAGAACATTATTTGGTGCCATGAACATGTAAGATATGAGGTTTATATAAAAATTTGTAAGAAACATAATAAAAAATATTAGATACTAAATTAACTTTTAAAGCTGATATATATCAATTAGAAAACAATTCGTAATTTTTTCAGCACAATAAATAGATGCTTATGTTGAAAGATTTAACAATATAAACCTTAATAATAAATATGTGTTATTAAGCTTTATATTAAATTAACTTTTGAAGCTGATATATATCAATTAAAAAGTAATTCGTAATCTTTTCAGCTTCACAAGTTCCTTCGGAATCTCCCCTTTAAAACTGTTGAAGCTCAGATACCTAATCAATTTTTTCGGTTAGTAGGAAGCATCAATCTTGATTATCATAAAATGAAAAAAATACTTCCAGATATTTCTTATAGATGTGTTAGACTCTTAAGCTCGCCAATTTCAAAAGGAAGAAGATCTTGTAGCTTATTTTGTATCAATTTACTACAACAAAAACATGTAATTAAATAAATTACATGAAAAATACTCATTTTCTCATAATCTAGATTTAAAATAAAAGAACATAAAATATTTTAAGGCGTTTAAGCCGCCCAAATATAATTAATCTTATATTTGATCTTACATAAGTATACCGTTTTCCCTTTGATATATATCAGCTTCAAAAGTTAATATATAAAAATAGTTAATCTTAATTAATATAAACCTTAATAATAAATATTAACATAATATAATTTAACAATAATGTATAAGTAGATTCATTAGATATAGAGATAAATAAGTTAAGTAATAAACTTTTTAACTTTTATCCTACATTGTTAAGAAACATAACCTAAATATTCCAGTATGACTATATAAACTAGCCCCATTAAACTCTTCAACTCATAAAATTAATATGTATTAAATTACAATGCTAATCCTTGTAGTTTTATTTTTTATTTTTTCAAACTTATTTTTTAAAATATTTTTAGAGATGATGTGGACATTGGGAAGCATGTCCCTTGAAGCCCGCCTTCCCACGTGGTGACATGTTAACATTTCCCTTGGAAGACACACTTAAAGAAATACATCTTCGGTTCACCTAAGCAAATGTATGTTTCACGTAACGTGCCTTATTAGAAGGGTGCTAGATCAATAAAATTAAAAAATGGCATGTTTCACGTAACACGTCTCATTAAAAGGGTGCTAGATTAATAAAATTAAAAAAATGGCATCTGACAGGTAATATCATAATATTTTGGTGATTTTTGGGCAAAACCTCCTAAAAGCTGCCCCTAGCTTAAATATCTTTATCCTATGTGTTTTTTACATTAATAGCCTTCAACAAACACACTATTTATATAGAACCGGGGAGAGTGTATGTCAAGGGAACAAAATATTACCAGAGCAGAGTGGAGGAGGGAGGGTACACTTGTAATTTCGCAGACGAAATACAGGTGGTTTGTAGGAAGAGGAAGGAGCGAACCAGCCGTCGTCTCGTTTGGGGAACACAGCGTAGCCAGGCGGAGGTGTCTTTGACAATTGAGAATAGATTGGGTTTGAAGAAAAGAGTACTAAGCCCTTCGTATCATTCTGCACCACCGACGACTAAATCATAAAACAAAAGAGAAAAAACAGTCATAACATTGGATCAAATGTTAACTCTAAATCGCTTGACTATTCATGAGGGGAAAAATATTTGAGGTGTTTCACAAACAATTTATGGTTGATAACTTGTAGTTGATTTTAATAGTTGATTTGATTAACTGTTTTAATCAAATGATTTGAAAATTTTATTTGATTAATTGTTTATATAGAATGTTTGATAAAATTTAGTTGATAGGTGATATGAGTAAAATGACAAATAAAAGATGATACATTTAATTGTTAAGTACATATATATTTTATAATACTTTAGTCTTTATTGGGTGAAATTATTCGGATAAAATAATTTTGACAAAAAATTAAAAATTTCATAAGAAAACTAGTGAATATTTTTAAAAAATTTAAATATTTTTTTAAAATTTAATATTTACAAATCTTAACCTCGTGAGATTGATACATACTATTAACCTTGTATAAAATATCAACATTCTATTTTTTCTACTTTCATGTTTTGCTATATTTTCTTAATTAAAATATATTTGAGAATCTACAACTAAAAAATAGAATATTAAAATAAAATTTCATTAAAATATATTAGTATGGAGACTATTTCATTATATTAGGTTTTATGGCAAGGATGTAATTATGAAAATAATAAGGTCAAATATGTCATTTAACATTTTATTTTGCAATAAGCTCTTTCAAACCGTTAGATTTGTTGACATTTTCAGCTTATTTTACACAATAAACTGTTTTAAAAAGGTGTTTACCAAATATTAAAAATAGAGGGTTTGACTACCCATAAACTATTTTATTTATGTTCAAATAAACTATTTTTTTCTCCAAAAAGTTGTTTATCAAACACTTCGGAGGGGAAAATGAGGTTTAAGGGAAAAATGAGATTCAATTAATCATACTATTTATATTTTTTCCTCATATTTCTTTAGGTTATAAGTTCTAAACTAACTAGTAACACTCTCAATTTCCTAGAATCTTTCATTTCCCCCTCGATTAATTTAAAATTTATCAAAGAATTATTTTTTATTGACGAGTTCTTTCAATTCTGCTTTTTAGTAAATTCGTTATTACAAATAAAATGGGCTAGCGTCTAGAATTACTGATATGAGCGAGCGTCTAGAATTAGAACAGATAGTATCAAAGTCCAAGGTGGTAGGCAAAGCAAGGCATGGTCCAAACCAAACAAGTGGCGTGAAAAATAACTTTTAAAAGGTCGCAATCTTGTTACGCAAGTGCCCCATCTTAAATAGTTTCCAACGCAACAACACTTGCTGTATTAAAAAAGATGGCGACGGTTTATGCCTTGGTCCATTGGAAGATCACTGCTTCCGCTCTTTAGCAGCTTAAGCTCTCAGCCTTCAATTTGCATATCCCTGAATTTTTCTCTGCAAATAAAAGCTAATAAATTAAGACCCACGTGTCTTCCATCTTCTTTAACTAATAAATTCGCAATGACGAGCTTTTAAATTATGGGATAAGTTCACTAATTGATTTGGACAATGAATCTAAAAACGAGAATCCCATGTGTGGTGCTTTTGTTCCCTGTAATAGTCGCCTTTGTTTTGCACCCAGCTACAAGAATAAAAATTATTTGATTATGTAAGCATTAAGAAATGACCTATGTAACATAAGCCACTTGAAGGATGTCATCAGAATTCTTGTGTTCGGGCAAATGGGTTTTCTTTTGCTTTATGTTGGTTTTGAACGGTTTTGATGATACCTTTTTATATTGATATGTGCATTAAGTACATATTTTTCTACCAAAATTGAACCCAGATTTTAAGATAAAACAGAGAAAAAACTAAATGGAACTCGTTGGACTATAAAAGATAAAATGGTACAAAATTTTTACAAATAACTGAAGGATGTGCGTTTTTGGCAAATAGCAGTGACATTCTGATATGTTACCACCACATTTATTGGGGAATCGCAATGGAACTTTACACCGAGGAAAACGAGACCTCAGACTGTCCAACACATAGCTTATATGCATACGAATGAGCATTGATACAACACTTCATTTTTGGAATATATATCTTTCCTAATGAATCACACTCACAGCTTCTAATTAAGTGGGTCTCACATTCTGGAATGTTTTTATCCGAATTTTTGAAGGGCTGTCTTGGGCCTGTAAAATGGACGGTTCATGATCAACCACTAGTCGGCGCTCTTGTTCCTGTTGTATTCGGATGTTTCGAGCAACTTCCTAGGCGGCTACGAGCTCAACAATATAGATACTCTTCTTTTTTTCCTCTGAATAATCAACTGGCTTTCTTCATTTCTTGCATGGTAAGTATGTTGTAAGACTACTATCAGTAACCAAAATGTATTTTTTTTTCTTCCAGAAAACAAAAGTTGTAGCTATTCCACTGTCCAAAAACAAATGTTGCATCTATTTCATGAATAAGTTTAACAGTCCGTTTTGTTTTTCCTATTTTTCAAAGCATAGAACCAAACCCAATTCTGAACTAAACTGTGATTAAATATGTATTTCCATTCGAATTTCACGTGAATCACAAGTCTATAGTACAAGTAGTTGCAAACCATTTTTCAACACTATAATCAATCACTAAGGTGGGGGATGAGTATTATATAATATTAAAAATATGATTAGTTTAATGTGCTTAAACATTGTTAAATTATAGTCTCATAATTTCAAACCAATTAAAATCTAATTAATTAGTTAAATTAAAAAAATATGCGAATTATTTTCCCAATTCCAGACAATTTACAGAGCAACATTCATTATTAATCTAGGATCATCAAAACTATAATGTGGAAGGTCTTATATTTGTTAAGAATCATGGAATTGATTCGGGAATCATAATGATTGGGGAATGCAATTAATTGAGTCGGCAGCCAAAGACAAGTCTTAGCAGCAATCAGCTGCCTTGACACAGGGCCTGCCTGCGTGCCTGGTGATTTCACCGCGTTATTTATTTATTTATTGTGAACTCTGTTTAGGGTGCTCTGTCTTAGTATCTTTCCAAGTATTGTCACTTTATAGAAGAAAAGGAAAGGAGGGACGCCTTCTGGGGTTCTTACAAGTCTTGGAATCATTTGACCGACTGAGGTTAGCTACCCCACAAGAAAACTCAACTGCATTCCAATCGCCAAATAACCAACTATTTGTGTAACACTTTTGTTAATTCACACCACTTGTCACGCAGCTTCCCTTCCCCACCCCCCTTTAAAACCCCTCCTCCTCGCTTCTCACTGTCCTTCAACTCTCAATTTCAGTACTACTGCTTTCCTCTACGTCTCTCTTCCGACTGGAATTAGAAGAAAAAGTTGTTTGTTTTATTGTGTTCGGAAATCAGATGGCTTTAGAAGCTCTCAACTCTCCAACAACAGCTGCTACGCCTCCTTTCCAATTTGAAGATAGCAACTTACACTGCCTGGAATCATTCACCAAGCGTAAGCGTTCAAAGCGGCCGCGTTTCGATCATGTTACCAACGAGGAAGAATATCTAGCTCTGTGTCTGATCATGCTCGCACGCGGTGGCGAAGCCAACTCCGCCAACACTTGTTCAACCCCACACTGCCATCGCTCTCCTACTCCAACCACCTCACTCCCACCAGCGCCAGCACCGAGCTCAACGGAGCAGAAGCTTAGCTACAAGTGCAGCGTTTGCAACAAGTCCTTCAACTCTTACCAGGCTTTGGGTGGCCACAAAGCCAGCCACCGTAAGCTTTCAGCTGGCAACGACGACCAGCCAACGTTAACAACCAACTCTACGATTGCCGGTGGAGTTATTTCCGCCGCGTTGAACCCAAGCGGTAAATCCCACGAGTGTTCCATCTGCCACAAAAGCTTCCCTACTGGTCAGGCCTTGGGAGGCCACAAGCGATGCCACTATGAAGGTGGGGCTGGGAACAGTGCTACCGCTAGCGCAAGCGGCGTGACATCTGAAGGAGTGGGGTCAACCAATAAAATGAACCATATCAGTCAGCGGGTCGCGTTTGACCTAAACCTTCCGACTTTGCCCGAATTCTCACCGGCTAATTTCTTTGTAGCCGGCGCTGATGACGAAGTGGAAAGCCCACACCCCGCTAAGAAGCCGCGTGGGATGATGCAAATGCCACCCAAAATTGAAGTCAACTAAACAATTCTAAGCTAGAAGCCGTTTTTATAGTCGCGTAGGGATTAATTAAATTTTAGACCAGATTGAATGCATTTCTTTTGATATTGTGAGACATTGTTCGCCCTCTGTACATAGCACTTGAACGATTTGTTTGTGGCAATGCTACTGTGTTTATTTATTTGTCAACTCAATTCAATACCATTTGATCCTTATCTTCAGCTCACTCTAGTATAATTCGTCTTTGTTGTTATACTTTACTAGTGTTTATTTTGTGCTACATTTTATGCTTAAATGTTCTTTGATTGTTCATGTTTACTATTAAATTGGACGTTTTTATGTATTTTCTGTGCAGGGCAATAACTTCTAGAAAATGTGTTTAAAAGGGTCAAAACTGCATTTTTTGTTCTGGAATCAATGCTATAATAGTGGGCATGAAAGTGGGCACGAAATGGTGACATGACAGTGAGTCGACATCTTCTAGAAGACCCAGTCAGTAGCGTCCAATCAACAGCTTCCAAAAGATGAGCAGACGGCTGAGCATTTCAAACACATTCAAATTCAAGATTTATCTTTTAAAATTAAATTCAAATTATTTTTTAGAATTATCTTCTATATTTTCTTAGGATTATCTTTAGTATTTCTAGGGTTTTAGAAGGCTATAAATACCTACATCGGGTAAGCCATTTTTCATATCTAGAATAATAAAACATATCTTTTGTTTCTTTCTTTTTATAAAATTTCTTTCTTTGTTATTTTCTTTTAAGCTTTGTTTTTAAAATGCTAAGTATGACTT